TAGAGGGAACAAAGCCACTTGTTTGGCTCTTGGCTGGCTTTCAGTCACTTCTGCCACTACCCAAAAGCTAATTGGGCCCTTCTGGTGCTGATTCACGGGTGGGTGGTTTTGTGTACATTCTAGGACACTATGGATCTCTCCAACAAAATCTCCTGTGAGGCTGGGAGTTTCTCCTGCCTCCTCAACCCTCACAGGTTTTTTCAGTCAGAGGTTTTGAGGCTTTATTTCCCTGCACTGGAACTCTGGGTTGCACAGTCTGTCTCACTCCCCAGTTGTTCCTTCCAGTTTTTCTGCATGCAAATATGGGGCTGCCCACTCCACCAGCCGCTGCCTTGCCTACCCCAGTCTTCCATCCTCCACCTTGCTGCAGGTCCTCTGTGCCCAGCTGCTTGTCTCCACCCCTCCTACTGGTCTGGATGAATATTCCTTCTTTAACTCCCTGGTTGTTGGACTTCCACACAGTTCGATTTTCTGGCAGTTCTTGTTATTTTTTTTAAAGTTTGTTGTTGTCCTCCTTTTGGTTGTGCAAGGAGGTACAGTGTGTCTACATATGCCTCCATCCTGACCAAAACTCAAATGTTTCCATTTTTCATATTACCAGTACAAGGCTAAAGATATATAATATGACAATAGTTAATACTGCTCTATGATATATAAGAAAAATGTTAAGAGAGTAAGTCCTGAGTTCTCTTAATGAGGAGAAAAGTATTTTCTTCTTTTCTTTTTATTATATCTATGAGATAATGGGTATTAGCAGTGCTTATTGTGGTAATCTTTTCACAGTGTATGCAAATCAAACAAATAAAAATGAAGTTTAATTTCCCAGGGAACTTAGGATTTTAAAAAAAAGAGGTTAAAAGAAATAAAGAGAGATTATATATTTGTACACACATATTAAGAATATAAATATTTTATATTATAAATATATATATTCTCAATAAAGAGTGATGTGTTCAAATATAAAGAACATACAATGTTCCAGGAAGTTTGTAATTTGAAAATTTGATGGCTATTCATGGTGGTGGAATCTGAGTAATATTTTATCTTTTCTTGTACTTTGCTGCAATGCATTGCTTTGTTATAATGAATATGCATGATTTTATAAAAACTGGAATTATTTTTCTAAAAAACAAAGGAAGAATATCATGTGCAACAATCTACCATTCATAATGTTAACAAAAACTATGAAATATCTGGAAATGTAACTAATAAGAAATATGTAAAATCTACATGAAGAAAACTATACAATTTTACTGAAGGGCACAAAAGAAGACAGGAATAAACTTTAAAAATACTACATGACCCTAGATGAAAATAATAATTTATTAATATGATTTTAATGATTTCCCAAGTTATACTACAATTTTGATGAAATCCTAATAAAAATCCAGTAGGATATTAAAAAATGAAATTCAAGGAAATGCTCACGCAAATTCAAAAATAGTTTGAAAAATCAATTTAATGAAGGATTTGTCCTCCCAGACACCAAAATTTGCTAACAAGCTATACCAATTCAAAGTGTGCTATTGAAGCAGTAAAATACAGTAGTTCCCCTCTGTTTGTGCAAGATATGTCCCAAGATCCCCAGTGGATACCTGAAACCACAAATAGTACCGAGTTCTATATATACATACAGTAGTCACCCATTATCTTGGGTTTCCCCTTCCACAGTTTCAGTTACCTGCAGTCAACCATGGCCCAAAAATATTGAATAGGAATTCCAGGAATAATGAATTCATAAGTTTTAAATTGAGTGCAGTTCTGAGTAGTGAAATAAAGTCTTCAGCTGTCCTTCTCCATCCAGCCTAGGACATGAGTCATCACTTTGTCTAGTGTATCCAAGCTGTGTATGTTCTCCATTTGTTATTCACTTACTAGCCCTCTAGTTTATCAGATGCTTGTGTTCCAGTAACCCTTATTTTACTTAATAATGGCCACATTCACATAACTTTTATTACAGTACATTGTTATAATTGTCTTATTTTATTATTTTGTTAAGCTCTTACTGTGTCTTATAAATTAAACTTTATTATAGGTATCTACATGTAGGAAAAAAACATAGTATATTCATATATAGAGTTCTATTAAAAGGTTTTCTTAAATCACCTTTTACCCCTCTATACCCTTTTCCACCTCCATCCACCTCCCTCCCTATGCAATCACCACACTGTTGTCCATAACCATGAGTTCTTTCTCTCTTTTCTTCTTTTTTTTGCTCAATCCCTCCACCCCCATCCCCAGCCTTAACCCTAATCCTCACCTAAAGATTTGTTCACCTATTTTTAGAGAGAGAGGAAGGGAGGGAGGGGAAGCAGGAGGGAGACAGAGGGGAGAAAAGAGAAAGAGAGAGGGAGGAAGGAAAAGAGAGAGAAAGAGAAACATCAATGTGAGAGTGAAACATCAATTGGTTGCCTCTGGCACATGGGGATCAAACCTGAAACCCAGGTATGTGTCCTGACCTGAACCTGCAGCCTTTTGCTATACCGGATGACGCTTCAATCAACTTAGCTACCTGATCAGGGAAAGGGTTCTATTGGAGGTTTTAAGGCATCTACTGGAGGTCTTGGAATATATCCCCCATGGGATAAGGGGAGACTGCTGTACTTGTGCTTTTTCTACGTTTGAATCTTAGAATGTATTCTTGTAAAATGTGTGTATAGTTACAGAAAATAAACAGCAAATGATAAGATACCCTAAGTACCTTTTTGTCAGGATACACAGAGCTAAATCTTTTAAAATCAGCTCTATTGTATAGATTTAACACAATGTACTTAATCTTTCCCTTATTGATGGATATTTTATGTTGATGCAGTTTTTTAACCTTTCCAAGCACTGCAATAGATATCTTAATATATAATAAATATATAATATATAATACATAATACATAATATATAATGTATATTATATTGTGAATATGAGAGTTTATTCTGTTACTATTGATTAATTATTGTATTATTTTCCACATAAACAACTGTAAACCTATTTTTGCCCCACCCTGTATTTATCAATTTAATAGATTTTGCCAAATTGTGCTCCCATAAAAGATTGCATCAAGGTATCTCCCTCCAATGAAGTGTAGAAATAACCATTTCCCCACAGACCAGTCACCAATATTATCACATTTCTAAATTTTGACAAACTGCTAGCTGAAACATGCTAATATGTAGTTGTTTGACTTGCATTTCTTTGAAACTGAGCATCTTTTCACATGTATATCAATACTTTGTATTTTTTTTCTGTGAACAAATCCATTCATATCATGGGCACATTTTTCTATTGGGTTATTTATATTTTATTAGTAATGTATTAAGAGTTTTTAGATTATTACAAATTAGCCATTTGACATCCTGCGCTTATGTTTTGTGTTTTTTTTTTTTTTACTTCACTAAAGTTTTAAATGTTTATATAATCATTTCTGAATATTTCCCTTTGGTGGAAAACATAAATTGGTCATGGACAATTGGGTTCTGAAAAGCCATTAGTAAGTTTTCGAGTCAGTCTGAGCTCCCTGGCTCACCTTCTAGAAGGACCTCCCCCCTCACAGGGGCCTCTCTCATGGGGAGCTTTCTGTTGGGGTGTCATATTTCAACATTTAAAGAGAGGCTGCCTGAAGGGTCTATATTTAGAGTATGACTCCCCAGTAGGGACAGCTAGATGTTTGGGGACTAACTTCTGCACACTTTGTTCCTGAGTTCTGGGATTATTCTGAGAGGCTTATATGGGTGGTGCAGTGAAATCATAACAAAAGGCCTGCTTTTCCTGGAAACTGCTTGGGCTCTTGTAAATTGTGCTTTTTGTGAGGGAAAAATGACATGGATCTCAGGGATGTTGCAGTGATTTACAGACACCCACAGACCCTCACCACTATCTCCACTGGAACATGTTGAACACTAACCACTGCTAAAGTGATAGAGCATATGAATGGTAGATACCTGAGCTATCATACCAGCGTCATAATAAAAACTTGCTAAGTCTCATTTCCATCAGTGTGATAGCAGTTGGTCCTTTGCAGGGTGTGATGAAGGACTGCTCTGAATACATGGTTATGTAAAGTCCAAATAAAACACTTTGAATGAAAAACAGGTTAATCTGGGAAGTCACTAGTTTTCAGGCACTGGGTTCATCTGGAGCTGGGTCTTAATTCAATTGTCCAGCAGTCATCTATGAAGTTCTCAGACACCTGACACAAGATAATAAATTCAGTCAGAACTCCAAAGGTTGTAAGTCACCTGTGGAAAACCGCCAAGATTAGAAAACTTAATGTCTTTCCAAAGATTAATTTATAGATCCTATTGAAAATATGCTGGCTTTGTTTAAGACAATTTTGTATTTAAAATGTCAATAATTACTAGTCTGTTTTGAAAGTTGCAAAACCATTTACAGCAACTAGAAAATATTTTTTAATGTGGAGCAAAAATAATGTAAAAAATGAGTCTTTTGTGATTTTTACGACCTCATTTCTAAATGTCAAATTAAAATAGCTTGACTACATTTCCAGATTACAAAAGCAATGAATGTAGTGTTAAAAGGAAAAAAAATGTAGCATAAAAGAAAGTTAAACCTCTCCTTCCACTCTCTAGTTCCTTTCCTGGCATCCCTTCCTTAGCCCAGTTTGGTGCAGCAAGGTACCCCGATGAGGACCATTGGTCTTATAGCTTCAGAGAAAGAGAAGATTACTCAAAGAAGCATCAGAAAAGGATAGGGTCAAAGCCTGGGGGTAGGTGAGAGATGCAGACCCTCCAGGGTAACCAGAGAACAAACTCCAACCACAGGGAGGGGAGACCACTTCTGGGCCCTCAGATTAGAGAGGACCCAGTTGAGTTGACAGGAAGGTGCGCGCTGGGCCCAGAGGAGACTTGGAAGGGTAGTTCTTTCCGTGGAGTGTGTGTGGGGGGGGGGGGTGGTGGTGGTGAGCTAGTTGATGACGCAAGGCCCTCACGTGATCGGGAACTGCAGAGCTACTCAGCGTTCGGCGCAGTTGTCAATCCCTTCTGGGTACCAGCTCCCCACTGTCCTGCACACCGCGGGTTGGTGTTGCGCCCAGGAAAGCCAGGCAGGTAAGGGCCCGGGGCCCACGAAGAGGCCAGGGCGGCAGCCGCCTCCAATCCCTGCATCCGGTCCAGGGGCAAGGGACAATGTTGGCTCAAGTTCCAGGAGCCTTCCCTCTGATTCTCCCAAACATCCTTCCTCTTGCTTAGTGTGTGGAGAGGGACCGTGGGTTTGGACAGGGCAGCTGCTGGGGTGTGTATCTCAAGAGGGAAATACAGTGGTTGAGATGCCCTTTCCTCCCAGACTCTAATCACTGACTGCATATGTCCGCTCAGCTTCCTACTCATTTCAGTGGAAAGGACATGCCATGGTGGCGTTTGCAGAGAAAATGGTGGGCTTTAGTACCTAGACGGCAGGGTTGGTAGGGGTGGCTTACAGGGGCGTTCAATAACTCGGTTCTTGAATCCAGGCCCGCGAGTATTGGTATCTTTGTCCTGGGTGCTGGTCCAAGCGCTCACTGCCTTTACGGCTGTCTGACGGACAGTAGCTCAATGTGGCAGTTTGCGGCTAGGTGAGGGAAGGAGTGGAGAAAACTGCACAAGATCTGTGGAGGTTAGTGTGAGCATGGGCACTGTCTGTGAACCGCCCAAGATCGATGTGAATTCTATATGACAGGAACTTAGGCGCCACTATCTGGTTGGGATATGGGGTGAAGCTAGCTAAAGGACTTTCCCTAAACTGCATCTACTTACCAAGTTTAAGATTTTAAACTTAAATTGTATATTGAAGACCGGTAAAGATACCAAACTTTTTTAATGGATGATTTCATTTGCATCTCAGATAATATTGAGAAGGTAAAAATTGTTGTATTAAGGAACATTATTTTTGAGAAAGAGAGTCAGTCTTTACGGGGGGAAGGATAGTGATTTTACAAAAGCCAAAGCCTTCCCCCACCTTGTCTGTTCTACTGGAGACTCCTAGAGATGGGTTTATGGGAAAGTACACTAGGCTATGAGGATTCTAGAGTGTGGGACCTTGGGGTCTCCATCTCTCTCACCATTTTCCAGTTTTTGGATACCCCACCTTTCTGAGAATGTTGGTGAAGGAAATGATGGACTTTTGGGAGAAACCCTAGAATCCTACAGGTGGTTTTAAAAGATTTTGCTTGTGTCACTTCCCTTTTGTTTTTCCTGTCTCCATTCTCCATCCTGCCCACTTCAAGGTTCTGTCTGCCAGGGAATGGGTCTCTAAATCCAATATGGCAGGTACTGAGTCCTGTGTCTTAAATGATGAGCTGTCACAAACACTCATTATTTACCTTCCCTTTTTTTCTCTGTTTGTTCCTAGATCTTCCTATACTATATACTGATAGTAGGGATGTTTACCACTGGAAGCAAGGGAAAGAGAGGGACTGGCCTAGAACCATGGAGGTTGCTGTAAAGGAGGGCAGTGTCTAAAAGGGTGGTAGCAAATGGTAGCTGAGACTTGAGAGGGTCTCTGTAGATGGTATTTATGCTTCTACTACACTCTGCCAGCACCACACATGGTACTGATTTCAGTGCAAGAAACATTTAAGGATATTGGGGGTAAGATTGCGCTGAAGTGTGACTGAAAGAAGACAAGGGGGGACCCTGATATGGGACAAATTAGAAAACTGGAACTGGGGTCTCTGGCAAGGCAGGTACTGGAGTCAAGGATCAGGGTGCTTATCTGTTCTATAAAGGATTGAGTGTCTGTTACCTCCTGTTTGTTTATTTGTCCGTAGATCTACTTGCAGGTATTTACAGAGCTTGACATGACTGGAAGCAAAGAAACAAGGAGGAAATTGCCCCTGATCAGTCAAGAATGGTAAGAGGATGGGGATTGTCTGGGTAGACCCCTAGGGTGGGTTGGTGGAGGCCACCATGTATCTAGCAGGTCTGCTGTCCAGTCTGCAGGATCCTCAGACTCTCTTTTACCCAGCCAGCTTTCCCACCATTCCTGTCACTTACCCCACACCCTCACTTTTATTTTGATACAGAGTGAGATTAACTGAAGGGAGATAGAGAGATAGTTTGCTAATAATATGCTAGTCACATAAAGTACAAAACCTCTACCCCCATCTGTTCTTCCATCTGTTTTTCTGTCTGTCTCTAGGTCTGTAGATATGCTTTAGGGTATATCACCAACCAAGAGAAGGAAAGAGGAGGGAATGGCCTCAGATCAATACAGGTATGGGAGTAGGGACCTGTGGGAGTGGTGGCCAGAGTAGGTCCAATAAAAATCAAGGTCTGAGGGATTCTCAGTCTCTCCCATTTATAGTCAGCCCTCCAACCATCCTTTTCACTATTCATTTGCTGTAAGGAAATGCCTGTGGAAGTACCTTGGGGGGAAATTGTTGGGTACTGGGGAAAATGGGGAGGGGATAAAATAAAAAGGATGGAGAGAGGGTTTGCTAATGATCCTCTTCTCCCACCAAGTACATTATTTCTGTACTGTCTTCTCCTTCTGTGTATCTATCTGAATAATGCACAGAATTAGAAGAGAAATTTTAGTTTATTTTCTTCCTCCTCCTATAGGTCCACCTCCAGTGACAGCTGAAGTGGCCTTTGAGCTGAAGATCAGTACACTTACAGGCCTACACTTAGACCTACCATCCTCTTTTCCCAGGCCATCTGAGCCCCACTGTACCTTGTTCATTCCTTCAGCAGGGGTGATTACATGGGTCACATTCAGGAAGTGGGCTGGGTGACTGCAGGACTGGTGATCTGGGCTGGTACCTGCTACTACATTTACAGATTAACCAAGGGAAGAGCCCAGAGTGTGAGGAGACTTGCCAGCAATGGGTCTAGAGTCAAGAAGGAGACCGTGGCTGGGGTACAGAACCAGACCTTGGACATGAATGAAGCCATGGATGGGACAGAGATTGAGGTTAGACCTAGGGCCAAGACTGGAGCAGAAACTGGAACAGGAGGTGGGGCTGGGGCTGAAGTAGAGACCAAGGTTGCTGCTAGAGTCAGACCCGAAGCCAACTCTCAGGCCAAGGCAATGGCTGGGGCTGAGGAAAAGGCAGAAACCCAATCTGAGGTTAAAACAGTGATCATGACCAAGGCAGTGACTCTAGGTGAGACCAAATTGAAAGCCAAGGAAGTGGCCATGAAAGAGGCAGTGACCCAAACTGACTCTGAGGCTGAGAGAATAGTCAAGAAAGAGGCAGTGACCCAGACCAAGGCTAAAGTTTGGGGATTGGTTGCCAAGGCAGAGACCAAGAAAGAATCAATGACCCAGATGAAAGTGGAAGCTCATATTTGGGCTGAAAAAGAGACAGAGATGAACAGAGTACTGGTGACACAGAATGAGGCCTTGGCAATGACCAGGGAAGGGGCCAAGATGAATACCATAAATAAGACTGGAATTATGGCTGAGACTAAATCAAGAGCCCTGGAAGAGACTGTGAATGTGACCAACATTCAGTCTGAAGCCAGGCCTGGAACCACAGTTGATGTTCAGGGAAATGTTAATATCATGTCCAGCGCAGAAGCTGGAGTAGATATAAGGTCTTATGTACCATCTCAGACTATGGCCAAGATCCAGGTTGATGGCACATCTTGTGCTGGGTTTGAAGTCAAGGAAAATCACAAAATTATGTCTTGGGTGAGGACTGGGGCAGACATGAGGGCTTCTGCTCAATTTGAGATTATAACCAAGGCTCAGGCTGAGACCATGACTAGGACAAGGGTTGACACTGGGGTTAATACCAACGCCACATGTAAGGCAGGGATGCGGACATATATGAGAGCTTCTATACAACCTCAGACCATGGCCAAGAAACAGGCTGAAGCAACGTCTGGTGCCAGGGTTGATGACAGCAGAAATACCAATGTCACAACTAAGGCAATGACTGGAGTTGACATGAAGGCTATCACTCAGCTTGAGGCTATGTCTGATGTCAGGTTTAAGGGTACAGGCAATTCCAATGCCATGTCTAAAATAAGAGCCAAGGCAAACTTGAGGGTCAATTCTCAAGTTGAGGCCTTGTCTGATTCTAGGGTTAAGACCAGAAGCAACCCTAATGCTATTTCTAAGTTAGGGGCTGGGACAGACATATTGTCTTATGCACAGCTTCAACCTATGGCCAGTGTTCAGGTTGATGCTTTGCCTGATGGCAGGATTAAGGCTAAGGGCAATGCCAACATTATGTCTCAGGAAGGGGCTGGAACAGACACAAAGGCACAGTCCCAGGCTTCTGCCATGAGCCAGATTGAAGCCTTACCAAGTACAAGAAGCAAGGCTGGGGGCAAAGTCAAAGGCAAGTATAAAGCAGAGGTTGGGACAGACATGAAAACATGTGCACAATATCAGGATGGAGACAAGAGTCAAAATGATGCTTTGCCTGATTCCAGAGTTGATGACAGGGGAGTTCCTAATGCTTTTCCTAGGGCAGGGGCTAAGGCAGAAATAAGGGCTCATGGTCAGCCTCAGGTTATGGACAATGCCCAGGATGAAGCTTTCTCTGGTATCCAGAATAAGGTCTGGGGCAATCCCAATGTTGTGACTAAAGTAGAGGCTGGGTCAGACACAATGGGCTTGGCCCAGCCTCAAACAAGTATGACAATATCTTCTTGGCCCCAAGCTGTGGCCAGTTCCCAGGATGAGGCCTCACCTGGTGCCAGTAATAAGGTCAGGGGCAAACCCAATACTTTGTCTAAGAAAAAGACTGTAGTAGATACAACAGGTTCCACCCAGCCCCAGGATGTGTCAAATTCCCAAGGTGAAGACTTGCTTGGTGCCAGGAGTAAGATCAGGGACAGACCCAATGTTGTGTCTAAGGCAGAGGCCAAAGCAGATGCACTAAGCTCCACCCAGCCCCAGGTTGTGACTAATTCCCAAGGCGAATTCTTGCCTGGTACCAGGAATGAGGTCAAGGGCAATGCCAATGCTGTGCATAAGGCAGGGGCTGGGCCAGAGATGGTGGGCTCTGCCCAGCTCCAAGCTGCCACCAGTTCACAGGGTGAGGCCTTGTGTGGTACTAAGAATAAGGTCAGGGACAATCCCAATGCTGTATCTAAGGCATGGACTGGGCCACATGCAATGGGCTCTGCCCAGCTGCAAGCTATGACAAATTCTCAAGGTGAGGCCTTGCCTGGTGCCAAGAATAAGGTACAAGACAATCCCAATGCTGTGTCTAAGGCAGAGGCCAGGGAAGATGCAACAGGTTCTGTCCAGCCTCAAGCTGTGGCCAATTCTCAGGGTGAAGCCTTATCTGGTACCAAGAATAAGGTCAGGAGCAATTCTAATACTATGTCCAAGTTAGAGTCTGAAGCAGATACAACAGGTTCTTCTCAGCTCCAGGCTGCAGACAGTTCCCACAGTGAGGCCTTTCTTGCTGCAAGGAATAAGGTCAAGGACAATTCTAATGTTGAGTCTAAGGTAGAGGCCAGGACAGATACAATGGGCTCTAGCCAGCCTCATTTCATGATCCTTTCCCAAAGTAAGACTTTGCTTGGTGCAAAGGATAAAGTTATATCCAAGTCTAAGGCAGAAGCCACACAAGAAGGTGTTGTCAATGCAGATCCCAAGCTTAAGTCCATGCCCACTTCTGAGAGTGAGGGGTGGGCTGGTACTCAGGCCTGTGGAAAGGCTCAGCCTAAGGTCCATGACTATTACTGGAATGGAATTGGTATTGAAGATTGGATTGCTTCTGAGCGATGGATCAAATTTAGGTTTCAGGCCAGGGATGGATACTGGGAGAATAGCATGTCCTGGGCTGATGATGAGAATGAAGCCAGTATTGAGTCCTGGAGTGGTGCTAGTTATATATCTGGTATTCAGTCCTGGGCTGGGGCTTGTGATCAGGCTGACATTAAGCCCTGGCCTGGGGCTAGGATTGAGAATGAGGTTGATATTGGATCCTGTGATGAATCTGGGGACCAGGTCAGTGGGGATCTCTGGGCTGGGAATAAGGCCATTGGAGGGTCTTGGACTGGGGCAGAGAACCAGGTCAGTGGGGGGTCTTGGGTTGACACTGGGAATAAGGCTACTAGAGAATCATGGACTGGAGGTCAGGTCAGTGAGGGTTCCTGGGCTAGGGGCCAGGCCAGTGGGGTGTCCTTGGCTAGGGAAGAGGTCATTGGAGGGTCCTGGCCTAAGGCTCAAGAACAGGCCAATGGAAGGTCCCAGGATGGGGATGAGATTCAGGTAAGTGGAGGTTCCTGGACTGAGTCTAGGGCTGGGAATGTGGCTAGTATTGGGTACTGGGCTGGGGCTGTTGGCCAGACTAGCCGAGGGTCCTGGTTTGGGACTAGCAATCCACCTGATGGTGTATCCAAGCCTAGATTTGATAATCAGACCAGTGAAAATGTACCCTGGGCTGGGGCTGGTGGTCAGGGCAGTGGAGGGTCTAGGTTGGGGTTTGAGGACCAGTCCAGTGGAAGATCCTTGGCTGACACTGCAGATCAAGCCAGTGGAGTGTCCAGGCTGGGACCTGTGGACCAGTCTAATGGTGGGTCCTGGGCTAGGGCTGGGGAACAGGCCAGTGGAAGGTTCTGGTTTGGGGCTGGGATTCAGGCAGGTAGCTGTTCCAAACATGTATTTGAGGATCAGGCCAGAAGAGGAGGCTCCTGGGCTGGTGCTGGAAATCAAGCTGGTGAAAAATCCTGGGAAGGGTGTAGTCTGGGGCCTGAGAATCAGACAAGTGGAGGGTCCTGGACTGGAGCTGAGGACCAAGCCAATGGAAGGTCTCAGGTCAGTGCTGGGGCTGAAGCCAATGAAGGATACTGGTTTGGGGCTGGGAATGAGACTAGTAGTAGTGGGTCCTGGTTCTGGAGAGAAGAATCTGATATTATGTCAAGGCCTGGAAGTAAAAGTGCACCTAGTGTTGAATCCAGATCAGGGGCTGGGGAAGAGGGCATTGTTAGTTCTGGATTTGGGGTTGAGGACAAGGCCAGTAGTGGGTCCTGGATCAGATGTGAAGAGGTTTTTATGGATTCCTATGTGGGGGCTGAGGCTGGAACTGAGGCCAGGAAAGAGTCTTGGCTTTGGGATGAAGATGCAACCATTACAGGGTCTAGGCTTGGGGTTGGGAAAGAGCTTGGCATGAGGTCCTGGACTTTGCCTAAGGATATAGATGAGGATGAGCTAAGTAGAGTGTCCAGCCCTGATATCGAGGAAATCAGTTTAAGGTCCTTGTTTTGGACTGAGAGTGAGAACAATAGTGAGTATAGATCCAAGGGTAAGAATAATGTCACTTTTGAGTGTGGGGCTGGAGATAAGGCTAGCTCCAAGGATAAGCTTGAGGCTGTTGGTGGGGGCAATGTAATGTCTTGGTTCAGGGATGGTAAAGAAAACAGAAGTGAAGACATATCTGCACCCAAGACTAAAGCCAAGAAATCATCTGAGTCTAGAGGTACATATCCATCCATGGTTCCTGGAGCAGGAATGGGGTCATGGGCGGGAACCATGATCTGGACAGAAATGAAATTTCCATACTCAGATGAGCCCTGCTTACTACCTGAAGATGAGCTCAGAAAGCAGATCAGTTCTCAGGAGAAAGCTCAGCCCTGGGGCTGCTGCTGTAAACACAAAGCTAATATGGATCCACGAGAGCTTGAAAAACTCATTTGCATGATTAAGATGACTGAAGATCCTTCTATTCATGAAATAGCCAATAATGCTCTATATAACAGTCCTGATTATCCATTTTCCCATGAAATCATTCATAATGGAGGTAGAATCTCAATTATTGAAAGCTTGCTCAATAATCCCCACCCCAGTGTTAGGCAGAAGGCTTTAAATGCACTAAATAACATCTCAGTGGCGGGTGAAAAGCATAAGAAGGTTAAAACATACTTAAATCAAGTATGTGAAGATACCATTACCTATCCCTTGAATTCAAATGTGCAGCTGGCTGGACTAAGATTAATAAAACACCTGACTATTATTAGTGAATATCAGCATATGGTTACAAATTATATTTCAGAATTTCTTCGTTTGTTAACTGTGGGAAGTGGAGAAACTAAAGACCATATTCTGGGAATGCTTTTGAATTTCTCTAAAAATCCATCTATGACAAAAGATTTGGTCATAGCCAATGCACCAGCATCACTGATTAATATTTTTAGCAAGAAAGAGACAAAAGAGAATATTCTTAATGCTCTTTCATTATTTGAAAATATAAATTACCACTTTAAAAGAAGAGCAAGAATATTTACCCAGGATAAGTTCAGTAAAAATTCCCTTTATTTCATATTCCAACGACCTAAAGCATGTGCCAAGAAACTTCGAATCTTAGCAGCAGAATGCAATGACACTGAGGTGAAAGAAAGAGTTGAGCTATTATTAAGCAAACTCTGATTAGTTGTATGTTTTCAAAAAAATCTGAGTAATATTTTGATTTTGCACTCTGAGGGTAATGCACTTAGTAAATTCCATTATAACTTTGAAACTGATGTTACTTATGATGGCCTATGGCTGGACCATATTATGAACACCAAATTAATTCAAACTTGTACTGAAAATACATGTGTTGATTCTTACCTTGTCTGGATTGAGATGTTTTTAATATGCTTCATGAGCAGAAATTAAACCGATTCTTCATAAGTAAGGTAATCTTTGGTCCTTTGTGTGGACTTATGTTTATACATTTGAGATTTTATTTTTGTTATCAATAAAGTTGTGTGTTTTAAGCAGGAAAAAAAAGACATGTCTTTGTCTTTGAGTTTTTGTATTGAAACAAAAAGACACTAACAAAACCTGGAGTCTCTGATCATAGCTAGACCCCTCCCACCAGGGCAGAAAGTTCTACAGGTGACAGTGCTCAGAAATTTTTACAAGGAGAGGATGCTTAAGTAAGCTGGACTTGAAGGATAAGAGAAAAACAGGACAGAAGGGCACTGGAGGAGGGAGGGGAGGAGAGAAGAAAGACATGGAGGTTGGAATCCTTCTCCAGAAAGGAGGCTTACCTGCCTGAGTGCAAAGTGTGGGAAAGGGAGTGATGAGAAATATAGTCCAGCAGTTGAGGTGACTCCCATTTGTGGAAGGTCCCTGATTACTGAAGGTGTCTCCATATTACTCTATCCAATCCTGGGAGACACCAAAGCCTTTTGTGACCATGCGAATGACAGGATGAAAGGGAAATGATGTGGCTGATTTCTGTGCAGGATGAGTCTGAGTTGGGAAGGGGACAGGAGTGACCACTGAAGATCAGAACACCAGTTAGGAAGTTACCACCATAAGTCTGAGTACAAAATGATAAAGGTGTGAAATGTCACTGCTGGCCATGAGAATGGTAAGGGAAAGAAGAAAGTGAGAAATCCTCTGAACAAAGAAGTGCTGGGACCTATTCTGGGGGCACACACTGAGGGGCAATTTTATTTTAGAGTCCTGGGGGCATTTGATAGGAAAGTGTCCTCTTTCCTGGCCAACTCTGCTATCTATGCAAATAAATACATGAGTTACTATTTTGAAATAAGGAAATATAATAGAAGAAATAATAAATTTTAGTGATTCTATCAGATTTCTTATCTAACGTAGGTCGAGGCAGGGCCTTTATGGAACTATCAAAAGAACTGTTGGCATCCATACTGGAGAAAATCCACCTCTCTCTCAACCCAGAGTGCAGTGAGAGTGTGGAGGGAGGACACTCTCAAAGTGTGCTGGTGGGAGTATACACTGGTACAAGGTCCATTTGCACACATGATTCAGAAGCCTGAAGATGTACATGCTCTTTAACCTAGCGATTCCACTGGTAGAAATATATTCTTAGGAAATAGTCAAATAATTGGCTTATATAAGACTTTACACCATTTTGAAGTGTGAAAAACTTGAATAACCAAGTGTCTTGAAATAGGCATTTGGCTAAACAAATTAGGATATGTCTACATATTGAAACATTATGCAGTTCTTAAAAATGTACCATCAGAGAGCCCCCTTCAGGATTGCATCAGCTGAGATTGTGTTGTCAAAGATGACACTCCATTCCCAAGGTGGCCTACATCCAATGGCTCACTGATGCCGTGTATAAAGGCAAGGCCCTCTTGCCGCCTGAAATAGCTTTGAAGTTTCACACTATCTTCAGAATTCCCTACAGGGTATGCCAAGGCATTCCATTGATAAAGCACTGAAATTTGATTTCTGCCTCTTATCATTCCTGCTTATTCTCTCCCTTTCCTTCCATAAGTGTTGATTCTAGGAACACTCCTTAATAAACCTCTTATACTCTTATCTTTGTCCAAGAATCTGCTTCCTAGGAAATCTATTCTGTGACATGCTTGATACACATTACATCTATCTAGCTATCTATCAACTATCTATCATTTATTCATCTATCAATTATCTATTATCTGTCTATCTAATCATCTATCTATCCATATATCTTAAAATTAAGAGTAGCTCTGTAAAAAATAAAAAAACAAAAAAAGGGTAATATGAGTTGTTTAATATTGTAAAATGTTCTATAGCTTCCACATGCAACTGCTGCAGTTTTTTTATTACCTCTGGAACCACAAATAGGGAACTAAAGGCAACCTAGTAAACAGACACTACTAGGAAATGATAGTTTGTTAAGTAAAAACCTATTGTAGTCCTGTATGTAAGAAGAAGGCTTTGACAAGTCAGCTTGTTTTTTTCTGTCCCCTAGGTGCTTCCACTGCTCGAATCTTCCCTGCAGTCTGGAATAATGTCCATCTTTATGCCTGCAATGGCACAATATGCAAATGTTTATGGTATTTGGACACAGTTGCCTTTTATTTATTTATTTTTAAAGATTTTATTTACTTATTTATTTTTTAGAGAGAGGCGAAGGGAAGGAGAAAGAAACATCAATATATGGTTGCCTCTCATGCATTCCCTACTGGGGACTTGGCCCGTATATGCCCTGACTGGGAATTGAACCTGAAACCCCTTGGTTTGAAGGTGGGCACTCAATCCACTGAGCCACACCAGCCAGGGATGCCTTTTATTCAGAGGATAACAGGGAAACAGATGTGGAAAAGCATTTTCCTGGAGCTTGTGTAGTTAGTCAAAAGTGCAGATGTTTAGGGATAAGAGTTGCACTCTGCCAACAATGAGCAGCAGATCCTATGTGACACTGGCAACCATGTGTTCTTTAATGAGTATGTGTGCATGTGCATGTGATATGAAGGAACCTTTAAATATGGGGTTTATGAGAGTCCTCATGCCCAGATCCAAGGGCAGCACTGAAGTTAGGATAGTAGTGGCTAACAGTTGTAGTCTTTTTGGAGAGTTAAGTGGTCTTATAGCTACTTCTGGGTCTGACTGTGGACCCAGATCTCCAGATTCTACTGTTGTTGTAGCAGACTCAAGCTCAGAGGTTGGTTTAAGGTTCTGGGTACAGTGGCCTTATAGGGTCATGCACATGTGAGGAATAATTTACCATCATTTTTTTAAAGATGAAAATGCAGTCCCTCTTCTTGTGCAAAAAGGCCCATTTTTCAGAAACATGAACTGATTGGCTTTGAAGGCAGTGTAGTATAGGGGAAAAAGTGCCATCTGGAGTAGGAGATGAAGGAGGTAGGGTAAACATTTCTCTTCCCCTTCAATTTTTCAAACATAAAGGAGCAGATTGGGGAGGGGAAGGAAATAAATCTAGTTTGAATTCTTTGAATTTGAGGTATCTTTGGTATTTCCAAGTGGAGACGCTCAATATCCATTTAAAAAGTATGAATCTAGAGCTCAGAAGAAAGGTCTGAGTAAAGATGTGTATTAGAGTCAATAACTGAAGCCAGGGAGTGAGTCATGTAGTCCCAGAAAGGGATACAGATTGAAAAATTTATGACAGAATGTCTCAATGTGTGGGATTTGGGCAGGGGAGGGGGAGGGATGTGCAGAATTGAAATCAAGGATACATCCACCCATTAATATTACAACACACATCTATTCATTATTTCCCATATTTTATTTTTTATTTTCCACTTTAAAATTATGATAAAGTACACATAACATTACAAACTTCACCATTTTTAAATGTGTAGTTAAGGTTTTCTGGTTAAGATGGTGGTGTAGGTAAACACAGCTCACCTCCTTGGACAACCACATCATGATTACAACTAAACTATAGAATAACCATCATTCAGAACCATCAGAAATTGAGCTGGATGGAAGTTCTACAACTATGGAAATAAAGAAGAAAGCACATCAAGGAGGAAGATGGCAGCAAGGTAGGAGGGAGCAGAATCCACTTCTCCCTACACACGGGAGAAAAACCTAGCCAGTCTTCGGAGGAACAGAACAAACGGCCAACAGTACCCCAGCATATATGAAAATAGGAGACCAAAAACTGTAGCGGACACTGAAAAACCAGACAGTAAGGAGAATATTTCAAGACAATAAGGTCCCAGCTACCAGTGGGAGGACTAGGGTGGCTATAGCTCCAGGCCTGGCACCCTCCAGGTCTGCCACAGGGTCCATGGGACAGAGCTGGGTCACCTGCTCCCTCCCTGGCCAAACAAAGTTTGAGCAGCACCAGGAGAGACCTGGTTGCTTGAAGTCGCAGAGAGGGGAATAAGTACAAAGTGGCAAACACACAGGGGCTGTGAGCACCCACAGAGTCTGTGGATGCTGGTTGGGGAGAGTTGAGAGTCTGTATGTGATGGGCCCTGACCCTGATAGTCCCCAGTCTGGCTGGATAATTGGGCTGTGCAAGAGGCTAGGCCACTGTACAGACCGGCAGGCTTGGGTAGGAGGAATTTCATAAAAAGAAAAAGTGAAAAAAAAAGACACTGTTTGGGGAATTCTCCTGCAGGAACCACTCAGGCCTTCTTCCCACCCAGCTGGGCAGTGCTTCTGAGGAGGCAAAGGAAGCCCTGGGCACCCCTATAGCACTGGGAAGGGTACACACCAGAACCTATGCCCAAACCCATCAGGCTGGAGGCAAGCCTGGCAGACCGTGTGCCCGCAACCCAAGGAGAGTGCGCTCTGTGGAAGGACCCAGCCCACAGCGGTTACCCAGGGAGAATGCGCTCTGAGGAAGGCCTGGACCCCACACCAAAGGCACCTCAGAGAGGTGCTCCGCTAGCCCTGGGGAGAGTGCACAAGAGGCTGACTGAGTGCTAATCAGGAAGGGAGAAAAGCCCCTCAGCTTGCTGCAGCCAGCAAGACCAGAAAAACCAGTGTGGCCAGTTTGAAACCACCAAGAGGCTTTTTTTTTAATTTGTATTTTTTTATTATTTTTATCTCTTAATTCCTTTCTCCTCTCTCTCCTTCTTTCTTGTTTTATTTCTTCTTCCTTTCTTTCCAATTTTATCTCTTCTTCCTTCCTTCTTCTGCTTCTCTCTTTCACTCTTTTTTTTTTTAATACCCACAAGTGAGACAAAAAAAATCCAGGAACTGTGAAAAGACCAGAGTTGGACCCAAAGAGGGAGCATCCCAACAGCTGAGACAGTGAGACAAATTTCACTTTGCTATTACAGAGAACCTGCAAGTTATTGCATATTTGTATTATTATTTTTCATTATTCTTACATCTT